TGGTTTTAAGTAATTAGCTTATTCAAGCGCTAATGAAACGGTTCTTTTCCAAATCCATACACCGGATGAGTGAGTGAGTGGGAGAGTATGGTATTACGTCGCTTTTATCAATATTCCAGCAATATCACACCAGAAATCGGCTTCACACACTGAACCCATGTAGGGAATCGAACCCGGGTCTTCGTCATGACGAGCTAACGCTTTAACCAAACCCATATACACTGGATGCTGCCGCTAAGGAAGGATGACTTCTACACATATACCAACTTTGATAGCAGTATAGTCCACATGTTTACCTATTCTTTATGCTTTTAAAGAATATTTCTTATGAGTATATTAAGGTTTTGTTTGTTACATTTATATGTAGGTTTTAATTTCCCGACGCTATTTTTCAAAACGGTATTGTGTGGATATTATTTCACTGCTTTTGACAATATTCCAGAAATACAAGAACGGACAACATCTGTGATGGGCTACAGATATTCAATCCCATTCGGGTACTTGAATGCGATAACACTTTATCACTCTATACTCCTTTCCACTAAGAGAAAAGCTGACCTGTATTCACACTTGTGGAGTTGGGAATGTATATATTCTTTCGCCGTGATAATACATTACAGCTAATGCCTTATGTTAGGGTTATCTATACTAGGCAAGTACACATTGTTTAGTACGCTGATAAGCAAAGCAAACCTTTATACTCTACCTTCCCAACTCATCAAAATGCACATATGCAGATGTAGTAATTTCAGTTCAAGTTTAATCCTTTATTCCTCGATACGTCTCACTAAAACGTGACACCACCCCATACCTACCAGAAGATACGATTTATCACATACAAACGAGATATCATACACATACATAGTTTACAAATCCCAAACAGAGACAACAGGTTAGATTTTTCACGTACACACCTCACTTCACAAACCCCATACCAGACAACTACGAATTAACACATACATACCTGTTTCCCCAACCCCATACCAGACAACAACTACGAATTAACACATACATACCTCAGTTCCCTTACCCCATACCAGACAACAACTACGAATTAACACATACATACCTCAGTTCCCTTACCCCATACCAGACAACAACTATGAATTAACACATACATACCTCAGTTCCCTCACCCCATACCAGACAACAACTAGGAATTAACACATACATACCTCAGTTCCCTTATCCATGCCAGACAACAACTATGAATTAACACACACATACCTCAGTTCCCTTACCCCATACCAGACAACAACTACGAATTAACACATACATACTCCAGTTCCCTCACCCCATACCAGACAACAACTATGAATTAACACATACATACCTCAGTTCCCTCACCCCATACCAGACAACAAATATGAATTAACACATACATACCTCAGTTCCCTCACGCCATACCAGACAACAACTACGAATTAACACATACATACCTCAGTTCCCTCACCCCATACCAGACAACAACTATGAATTAACACATACATACCTCAGTCCCCTTATACCATACCAGACAACAACTATGAATTAACACATACATACCTCAGTTCCCTCACTCCATACCAGACAACAACTACGAATTAACACATACATACCTCAGTTCCCTTACTCCATACCAGACAACAACTACGAATTAACACATAGATACCTCAGTTCCCTTACTCCATACCAGACAACAACTACGAATAAACACACACATACCTCACTTCCCTCACCCCATACCAAAAAACAACTATGATTTAACACATACATACCTCAGTTCCCTTACCCATACCAGACAACAACTATGAATTAACACATACATACCTCAGTTCCCTTATCCATGCCAGACAACAACTAATAATTAACACATACATACCTCAGTTCCCTTACTCCATACCAGACAACAAATATGAATTAACACATACATACCTCAGTTTCCTTACCCCATACCAGACAACAACTACGAATAAACACATACATACCTCAGTTCCCTCACCCCATACCAGACAACAACTATGAATTAACACATACATACCTCAGTTCCCTCACCCCATACCAGAACACAACTATGAATTAACACATACATACCTCAGTTCCCTTATACCATACCAGACAACAACTACGAATTAACACATACATACCTCAGTTCCCTCACCCCATACCAGACAACAACTATGAATTAACACATACATACCTCAGTTCCCTTATACCATACCAGACAACAACTATGAATTAACACATACATACCCCAGTTCCCTCACTCCATACCAGACAACAACTATGAATTAACACATACATACCTCATTTCCCTTATCCATGCCAGACAACAACTACGAATTAACACATACATACCTCAGTTCCCTTACTCCATACCAGACAACAACTATGAATTAACACATAGATACCTCAGTTCCCTTACTCCATACCAGACAACAACTACGAATAAACACACACATACCTCAGTTCCCTCACCCCATACCAGACAACAACTATGAATTAACACATACATACCTCAGTTCCCTCACCCCATACCAGACAACAACTATGAATTAACACATACATACCTCAGTTCCCTCACCCCATACCAGACAACAACTACGAATTAACACATACATACCCCAGTTCCCTCACCCCTTACCAGACAAAAACTATGAATTAACACATACATACCTCATTTCCCTTATCCATGCCAGACAACAACTACGAATTAACACATACATACCTCAGTTCCCTTACTCCATACCAGACAACAACTATGAATTAACACATAGATACCTCAGTTCCCTTACTCCATACCAGACAACAACTACGAATAAACACACACATACCTCAGTTCCCTCACCCCATACCAGACAACAACTATGAATTAACACATACATACCTCAGTTCCCTCACCCCATACCAGACAACAACTATGAATTAACACATACATACCTCAGTTCCCTCACCCCATACCAGACAACAACTACGAATTAACACATACATACCCCAGTTCCTCACCCCATACCAGACAAAACTATGAATTAACACATACATACCTCAGTTCCCTTACTCCATACCAGACAACAACTACGCATAAACACATACATACCTCAGTTCCCTCACCCCATACCAGACAACAACTATGAATTAACACATACATACCTCAGTTCCCTTATACCATACCAGACAACAACTACGAATTAACACTTACATACCTCAGTTCCCTCACCCCATACCAGACAACAACTATGAATTAACACATACATACCTCAGTTCCCTTATACCATACCAGACAACAACTATGAATTAACACATACATACCTCAGTTCCCTCACTCCATACCAGACAACAACTATGAATTAACACATACATACCTCAGTTCCTTAATCCATACCAGGCAACAACTACGAATTAACACATACATACCTCAGTTCCCTTACTCCATACCAGACAACAACTATGAATTAACACATACATACCTCAGTTCCCTTACTCCATACCAGACAACAACTACGAATAAACACACACATACCTCAGTTCCCTCACCCCATACCAGACAACAACTATGAATTAACACATACATACCTCAGTTCCCTCACCCCATAGCAGACAACAACTATGAAATAACACATACATACCTCAGTTCCCTCACCCCATACCAGACAACAACTATGAATTAACACATACATACCCCAGTTCCCTCACCTCTTACCAGACAACAAATATGAATTAACACATACATACCTCAGTTCCCTTACACCATACCAGACAACAATTACGAATTAACACATACATACCTCAGTTCCCTCACCCCATACCAGACAACAACTATGAATTAACACATACATACCTCAGCTTCCTCACCCCATACAAGACAACAACTATGAATTAACACATACATACCTCAGTTCCCTCACCCCATACCAGACAACAACTTTGAATTAACACATGCATACCTCAGTTCCCTCACCCCATACCAGACAACAACTATGAATTAACACATACATACCTCAGTTTCCTTATACCATACCAGACAACAACTATGAATTAACACATACATACCTCAGTTCCCTTATCCATGCCAGACAACAACTACGAATTAACACATACATACCTCAGTTCCCTTACTCCATACCAGACAACAACTATGAATTAACACATACATACCTCAGTTCCCTAACTCCATACCAGACAACAACTATGAATTAACACATACATACCTCAGTTCCCTCACCCCATACCAGACAACAACTATGAATTAACACATACATACCTCAGTTCCCTTATCCATGCCAGACAACAACTACGAATTAACACATACATACCTCAGTTCCCTTACTCCATACCAGACAACAACTACGAATTAACACACACATACCTCAGTTCCCTTACCCCATACCAGACAACAACTATGAATTAACACATACATACCTCAGTTCCCTTACCCCATACCAGACAACAACTACGAATTAACAGATACATACCTCAGTTCCCTTACCCCATACCAGACAACAACTATGAATTAACACATACATACCTCAGTTCCCTTACTCCATACCAGACAACAACTACGAATTAACAGATACATACCTCAGTTCCCTTACCCCATACCAGACAACAACTACGAATTAACACATACATACCTCAGTTTACCCAACCCCATACCGGTCAACAACTACGAATTAACACATACATACCTCGGTTCCCTTACCCCATACCAGACAGCTGGTACGAGCTGTGACATAATACGTTATTTGCCGTACACCACCCCAGAGGGCAGATTGACCTGTCACACATATATATTATCTGTCACTCGTGATTACATGTACGTCAAATACATGTACAGTTATAAGAAGTCAAACACACACTATGCATCGAGAAAACCTTGAAGACTTAAAGATGAATATACTAAGGCTATGATATATACACCTATATGTTCTGAAAACACATACATTGAACGAATTTAGACGATATTTACGATAGCAAATCAAAAGAAACATTACATATATGCTTATGACGTTCTTAGTACTCACATTCTGAATGTTATCGATGGCGGTGGAGTTTAGTCCCGTGCCCAAACTACGCTTGTAAATCAAGTTTGCCAGGTCACTGCAATAGACAGTAACAGCTGCAGTTAAAGGCGTGTGTATTCATGTAAATCAAGCCTTTTGAAACATGCACTTGGTGGACCCACTATCGACTGTGAGTTAGTGTACAGGTACTACACTGCACAAACATTTGTACTACACTCGGTAATCTGACAGTACATTGCTTGGGTCTTGATAATGACACTGTTACCTGTGTCTTGGGGTGAGTCGAGAGACAAACAACACACCTGTCTTTACTGGAGAATGTCGTCACTGCTGAATGCCGACTCAGATCCTGCTGGAAACTATTACACATTGATTTTAACTCTACACACGGTAATATCTGTATTCTCAGTTCTATGAAATAGTTGGCGACAGCAGAGACCACATATCGGTATATGGTCTCTGGCGACAGTTTACCCACGCCTGTGAGTTAATTGTTGAAACATAGGAGGTGAAGGAACATCTGTCAGTTTGATGTGGAGCAATGTCTAGGTGAATAATCCACCTTCGTCAATTTCAGTTCATCAATGAAAACCATACATTTTATTTCACACACACAAACACACACATACACACGCAAACACACACGTGTGTAGTGTGTCTATGCACATGCAAACAAAGGACTATACGTGTTGTGGTTTATTCTGTCTTGACCAAAGCGGAAATGAATAATATTCCTGTATTACAAATAACCAACATGAACATGTATTATTACGCACACTCCCTTGCGGCAGACATGTCACTAACTATTTGAACTGAATTCCGAAGAGCCTTGATCACCGGTGCTCAGAGACATGTATTACATGGCCCACAACTGCGACACCACACTATATAATTACTCGCTCCAAGATTTACCGGTATCATGAATTTAACTGAAAAGGGCCTTTCAGTACATTCAATCATTTGAGAATGTCAATACCACGTGAATTCTCAAAACGAGAAGATTAACATGTACACAGTCCTTTCAGACGTTTCCCTAGATAGCTTACTGAAAATTTGTTCTTTTTTTGTTCATGACAACTTCTGAGAATGCTTTCTCGATATTAATTTAACTTTAAGAGAAGTCAGTAGACATTTATACTTAGTACGCTATTCGTTACATCAGATATATACAGGAACCAACGTTGTAAATGACATCTGCTACTAAAGGCCCCTTAATGTGAGATATTCGAAGGACTTATTGCAACAGAGATATAAATAATGATAAAGTTCATATTTGTAGTGCGCCTAAATCCAAAATTTGCTCAAAGGCGCAGGTCATAGGCTCGTTTGAACAAGAGGGTCTTCAGCTCACTTTGAAATATCTCACAGTCATTGGTTTGCTGGATAAGTGGCGGGAGTTCATTCCAGGGTGCAGGGCCTGCTTTGGCAAAACTCCTATCACCGTAGAGTGTTGTTCCTGTTATTGGAACATTTAGTTGTTAAAGAGAAGCTCATCGCAGCGTCCTCTTTGGTTGGTATCAGCTTAAAAGCTGTTCCAGATACAGAGGGGCTAGACCGTAAAGAGCTTTAAACACAAACATCATAAAACAATCCGATGGTGAATTGGAAGCCAGTGTAGTTTTTATAAGATTGGCGTAATATGCTTGTGTATGCGTGTTCCACTTATCCATCTTGCCGCTGAGGTCTGTACCTTCTGAAGTTTGCTCAGGCAAAGCTGGTTCGATCTATACAGCAGCCGTAATGTTCCGTAAAACATCGGCATCCAGACTCGGTTTCTTCAGTAGAGGTGTGACTATTGCTTCTTTGAGAGATTTGGGAAATATGCCAGTTGCCTTTTCATGAAGAGCAAGGTGTTAGAAACACTGAAAATATCCTTTTGACTGGTGGCATTTGTAATTGCTGTTTTAAAATGGCTAACTGTACCTTCTTCAAGAAGTCGGTTGACACCACCACGCTGAACTGCATGAATCTCTTTGAGGACTATCAGTTAAGTGCGTCTCATTTGCCTTTCTAACTAGCTTAGTAGTTGCTTGGCTCTCCTTATTCCATCCGTGTACCATGACGTCTAAAATCGGAGGGAAACATGAGAATTCTTGGATGGCGCATGTTTGTCAAGAAGTGCACCAAGTTTATCTTTGTACCGGTTGTCGGAACAAGCAACGCCATCCAACACAATGTCTGACCTTACGCTTTGAATGTCTTCAGCAAATGATGTCACATCAATGTCTTTCAACTTCCTACAGAACACTTTCTTCTTGGGCTTTGGGCTTTTTGGAACACTTGTAGTTGCCATGATGTAAGAGTGATTAGACTTGACGGAATGGCCATATTTACAGTTCAATAGTCGAAGTTCATCGGATCTTGTTATGAGATGGTCCAATGTATGTCCATTTCTATGGGTTAGTGATAGAAAATGTTGGACGAGATTCCTGCGCTATAAATTCAATTCAATTCTTTATTCCCATAAACCACCTTGGTGGTACAAGAGCATATTTTGTAAACATATACAAATACAAAATGAAATTCAAGATGGCAAAAACAACATATCAACATTTTCTTCTGACAAGAGATGATCGATGTAGGATATATTGTGACAGATTTATAAAAGAGAGCGAACACGTTGAGCGTTTTTGTCGAGCTTAAAATCCACGTGGAAATTAAAATCTCCACATACGATAACTTTGCTTTGGGTGATATTCCATTTATCCTGTTATCCTGCATAAAATGCTTACCTGTCACTCAAATCAGGTTAAGGTAAAGCTGTCACTTATTTCTGTACAACAAAACTTGAAATGTTGCAATGTACGGTAGCTAACGTGGATCAGTAGTTTTATCTACAGAATGTCATTTTAAAGATGAAGGTGAGGTGAAATTGGGTTTAACGTCATGCTTGAGAATATTTCGCTCACATGACGACGTGCATGAGTGTGTATGTGTTGGTTTTATAGTGCTAGCCCACTGAGATACCACGCCGCAGTGAAGCATGAATACCCCACTCAGACACATTATACTGACTCCGAGCCGACCAGTCCTTGTTGTACCCATTAATGCCGAGCGCCAGGCAGGGACCAACAAGTACCATATTTTAACGTCTTTTGGTATGACGCGGTCGTGGATCGAACCCGCGACCTTCCGCTCTCCGGGCGGACGCTCTAACCACTACACCACGGAGGCGGTCGAAGTGTTTGTGAAGAACTGTGATGATTTATTGTTTGAGGTTTGCAGTGATGATGAGGTGAATAACATTTTGAATAATGACATAACTGGCCAGGAGATATTACAAGCAGTATCAAGTTTAAAGTACAGTAAAAGGTTTTTGAAAGTTAGTAAATATACCAGCAATGTTATGGCGCTAGGTGAATGTGTCAGAGTTCCATTGCAATGTCAGTATATGTCTAGATGTGGTAAATATTGGTGTAGATCGCTTCAGTGTTATCAAATGCTTATGTTATTGGATGAAGCTGGTAGAAATACTTGGGTTAACACATTTTGTATCAGTTTGGTCTTGGTATTGTATGGTAATGTAAACTTATTCATGATCACTTTCAAACAAAGCTTGTATGGTGGTTTATGTCACGACTGATGTAACGTTTATATTTGGTCGAGGATGAATCATACTCGCGGAGATGATTTCAGAATCACATGTTGGATTTGTTTGGATACTGATTCAGTCGATAATGATGATGAGTGCGAGCGGTTTGATTGTCCTATAGTCAAGGACAAGGCGCTTGAAGTTGGGCAAATCAGCTGGTATTGACAAACCTTTGGCGGAAACGTTTTTGTATGGTAATCCATAATCAATAATTTATTAAATGGTTAAGCTGTTTAACACTATTTATGATTCAGGTGTTTTCCCTTCGCAATGGTCAGAAGGTATTATTTTTCCGTAGCACAAAGGTGGATCTCGTGATTGTCCAGATAATTATAGAGGTATAACGTTGTGGTTGTCAAACTTTAGCAAAGTATATATTGGTATTATTAACAGTAGAATAACTTACTGGGCTAATGATGAATCGCTTATTTCGGAATCTCAGTCTGGGTTCAGAGCCGGACATTCTACGGCTGATAATCCTTTTACTCTGTGTCCACTTGTGCAAAAATATTTATCCAAGAGGAAATGTAAACTCTATTTTGCCTTTGTTAATTTCAAAAAGGACTTTGATAGTGTTAATAGAAATAAGTTGCTGTTACTTCTTCGCAGAATTGGTTTGGAGGGAAAGTTGTTTCGTAGCGTTAAGAGTATGTATAAGGTATTTACATCCTGTGTCAAGACAAATGAAGGTTTTTCAGATTTCTTTGAATGTCCGAATGGAGTAAGGCAAGGCTGCGTCTAGAGTCCTGTACTATTTTCCTTGTTCATTAAAAAGTTGGCGAATGGAGTAATTAAGTAAACAGTAGAGGTATCCAGTTGTATCCTGATATCATTGAAGTTTTTCTGTTACTTTTCGCAGATGACGTTGTTCTTGTTGCAGATAGTGTAAATGGTCTGCAGAATCGTCTTGATATTCTCCAAAGTTATTGTGAATCATGGGATTTGACGGTTAATATGTCTAAAACTAAAATAATGTTTTTCAGAAAAGGTGGAAAATTATCAAGTTTTGAAAAGTGGACCTTCAGTGGGAATAATGTGGATGTTTCTAATTATAAGTATCTGGGTCTAGTTCTTACAAATCAAGTTTTTCACAGAGCTGCAATTTTGTTGCTATAAAGGCCAAGAAAGCCTTATTTGAAGTTTTAAGAACGATGTATTCACATGGGCAGTTATATAAGGTTTTCTTAACAATATTTGATTCTCAGATTATGCCAATGTTATTATACGGTTCCGAGTCGTGGGGCTTTCAGCGTATAGAGTGTGTAGAGAGAATACATCATTTAGCGATTAAACGGTTTCTTAACATTAGTACAAGAGCTCCGACTGTTTTAGCTATGGGCGAATGTGGCAGATTCCCAGTTTATTTGTCTTCTTTGTTGAGATGTATTAAATTTTGGCTTAGAGTTACTCGTATGCCGAGTCATAGGTATCCACGTAAAGCTTATGAATTGCTGTACACATTGGATAATGTTTATCGCCATACATGGGCTTCATCGGTTAAGCAAGTTTTATTTAGCTACGGATTTGGTTACGTTTGGCTGTTCCAGGGTGTTGGCAGTGTATAAGTATTTTTGTCAGAATTTAAGCAACGTGCTACGGATCTCTTAACTCAGGAATGGAAATCTAGCTTGCATTGTAGCAGCAGATATGACTCTTATTCTTCATTCAAATTGAATTTACAACCGGAATTGGATTTAACTCATGGCGATTGTTCCTTATGTCGTCATGACTTGGCGAAACTGCGTATTGGCATGGCCAGATTACAAGTTGAACTTGGTCGATATTATAACGTAATAAGAACTCTGCGACTGTGTAAAGTGTGTACGTTAGACATGATTGAAGATGAATTTCATATTGTTATGATATATCCAGCTTATGAGAGCTTAAGATCTAAATACCTACCGTTTGTCTGTACATCCTATGATATAAAAACTAATTTCACAAACCTAATGGCATCTAACGATGCAATAGTTATTATTAAGCTACAACTTTATGTTGACTGTGCACTACGTCTGAGACATCAAAATTTTGTAGCATGCAAGTTCCAACCTGCTGTATCATCTGTATATGGGCTGGAGGCCACACATGCGGAATAAACGATTGATTGATTTAAAGAAAGTAAGCAGCAAATCTGATATTACAATGTTTATTCATTATGTTTACAGTGCCAATACGTAAGCATTCACAATATGATGTACCAATGTGCCTGCATTTTTGTATTATGGGCCCTTGGCCTAGAAATACAGACTTGAAATATGTCTGTCCGTCTATCATATTCTGTGGGTAATACTAGACTTACAAAGTGGCTAGAATTACATGATGTGGTGGTTTAGGAACAGAATGGCTTCCAATCCAAGCGTAGTACTCAAGAACACATTTATAGTCTATATTCTGTAATCAACAACAGAAAGGTAACTAGGAAATCTACCTTTGTGTGATGATATGAAAGCGTTTGATAAGGTAGATATTGGTTTTGTAATGTAGCCGACTCTGTTTTCTATTTACATTAATAGTGCAGTTCAACAGTGCAGTTCGGTTGTGGTGATATGATAATCAAATATTGTGTTCAATATAAATATTAAGGTATGTGGATACATGGATTTTGTGATTATAACAAATCAGTGCAAGAAGTGTCTAAATCTGCCAACAGAGCACTTGGTGTGATAATGACCAAGTTCAATGCTCTCGGTGGCCTCTCTGTTTATACTTAATATAATAATATTTATACTGCCTATACGTAATTACAGTGCTTCTGTCTGGGGTATGAATATGTACAAGGAAATCCATTATATACAAAATAAGGCCATCAGAATTTTCTGGGCAGCGAGGAAAAAACAGTTCTAACACAGCTGTCAGAGGTGACATTGGGTGAAGAAGTTCATACTAAAAAATCAGGATTGAAGTGCTGAGATAAAACTGTAACAGCCCATAGTGATTATTTACCAGCTGTTGTCCATAAATGGTCAGTCAGAGGAATGTCTTCATGGGACTATAGAGTTATGGAACTTATGAAGAAACTTCAGATTCACGGAGATGTAATTGGTTATTCTGTATCAACAAACAGATCCAACTTCCTCAGCTGTGCTTTACATGTGTTAGATATATGGGATAGAGAGAATTGGAACTCAGATTTATTTAATGACAACAATACTTAGTTAAATGGTAATAAATCAAGAACCTACAGACTGTTTAAAAAGGAAATATCGACTTCAGCATACGTGAGAATGCCATTTTGAAGACAACACAGAAAATTAGTAGCATCACTGAAGTGTGGAAACTTACTTCTCAACATTGAAAGCGGTAGATACACCAAGCCTATTACTCCCTTACTTGAAAGATTGTGTACATTGTGTGACAAAGGTCTAGTTGAAATTGAGATTAATTTTCTGCTGGAATGTTCATATTACAGTGAATTGGGCTTACACCCCTGAGGCACATGGGGATATTGTCTAAGACCTGGTTGGTGTCCCTGTGTTGGAATAATTATGTATATTTCTGTATATTTCTGTATATGTGTATATTTGTATATTTCTGCATATTTATGAAAACAAATATATTTATTCATGTCTTCATGTAACCATTTTCTGAAAATGTTCCTAATGTGTAGAGGAGAAAATATACCAAATTGAACTGGTGAAATAGAAAATCGAGATGAAGTATAGTGTGAGACCGTTTGTTAGATCGAAACAGATTCCGAACAAAAGCGTCCGGCAAAAAGTCAGTTAGTGAGTCCGTCCGAGTGAGTTGGTATGTCTGTTCGAGTGAGTTGGTGTGTTTGTCCGAATGAGTTGGTATGTCTGTTGGAGTGAGTTGGTGTGTCTCTCCGAGAGAGTCCGTGTGTCTGTCCGAGTAAGTCTGTCTGTCTGTTCGAGTGAGTTGGTGTGTCTGTCCGGATGAGTTGGTGTGTCTGTCCCAGTGAGTCAGTGTGTCTGTCCGAGTGAGTTGGTCTGTCTGTTCGAGTGAGTTGGTGTGTCTGTCCGAATGAGTTGGTGTGTCTGTTCGAGTGAGTTGGTGTGTCTTTACGAGTGAGTTGGTGTGTCTGTTTGAGTGAGTCCGTGTGTCTGTTTGAGTGAGTCAGTCCGAGTGAGTCGGGGTGTCTGTCCTAGTGAGTGGGTGTGTCTGTTCGAGTGAGTTGGTGTGTCTGTTCGAACGAGTCAGTCCGAGTGAGTCGGGGTGTCTGTCCGAGTGAGTCCGTGTGTCTGTTCGAGTGAGTTGGTGTGTCTGTCCAAGTGAGTTGTTGTGTCTGACTGAGTGAGTCGATGTGTCTGTTCGAATGAGTTTCAGCGTCTGACCGACTGAGATGGTATGTCTGTTAGAATGAATCAGTGTGTCTGACTCAGTGAGGTGGTGTGCCTGTCCGTAAGGTTTGAATGTGTCTGTATGCTTATCCGAGAGAGCTGGGGTGTCTGATTATTATTATCATTATTTTTTCTCCTATGTATAGTAATGTTTTAGATGTTGTGTCTTATGCGGCCCGGTTGTTACATACATATATTTTACCATTGTATATATTCTGAAACAACATGACACGGTAATAAATTATTAAATTATTAATATTAATGACCTGGCTGAAGAAATCGACAATCTCAATTGTGGTGTTAACATTGATTGAGTTATGTTGAGTACACTACTGTACGCTGATGATATTGCTATGATAGCAGGATATGTCCAGCCTATCTTATGCTATGGGTACAAACCAATTCAGTTGTATAACTTCTGTACTAAATAAGGCTTATATATAGAACTGTTTTTTAATATTCTTAACAATTTAGATCTCCACGTGGTGGACCTGTATAATATGTCTTAATTGGAATTCCATTATGTTTCACAGTGGATACGATATTCAGATAGTTCGAATTCGATTAAGAACTTTGGAACGACAGAGGCAAACCTAACGGAATAAACTCCGTACTTACAGAGAATTTAAGAAATTATTAACAGCTGAGCCATATGTTACTGTTATTCTACCTAAATCTCATTGCAATATACTTAGTAAGTTACGATAGGTACCTTTGGTAAAAAAGAGGTCTGTAGATATACACGCTCCAAAACACCTTCAGATGATATAATTTATAAATGTTGTGATGACAATACGATTGAGGACGAAGTTCACTTTTTGGTCAGCTGTCCGCTATGTTCGGATTTACGATATGACTTGTGGGAAAATGTATTAAATACTAACCCTTCTTTCACTTGTTGCCTACTGAGCAGGCCACATTTATGCTAGGTAATGTCAAATTAATAAAACCTTTAGCTGCATTGGTTACTAAAACGTTAAATATACGTAAACGCACTGTGTAGTCCTGTAATTAAACATACCACACTTCACTGTTGCTTGTAAATCTGTGATATTGTATGCACTACAATCTGTTTCAGGTATAATGTAGTGTCTTGTGTCTTGTAATGGTTAGGTTTCTTAGTATAAATTAAGCTTGTTCTCTTTTAGGGTTGGGACAGGGTTAGGCATAGGCTAGACTAGAAAAGATACACCAGGCTTAGGCTTCTGTGGGCTTATCCATTTAGCTCTTGAGGGGTAAGGACCCACTAGGCATGTGCCTAGTATGCTTTTCCCCATTGAAATACATTGGGATGGGCCAGTGCATGAGTATCTCATGAGCATTTAGATCAGTCCATTGAACTTTTCTTTTGTAGGCATTTAATGGGTAATTTTCAGAGCAAGAATTTTATTGGGTAAAACTTGTAGGTTAGGGGTATCAAAGGGCAGAATATTTTTTACTCTGGGGTCACTATTGTTTCTGTAGACTAGGTATTTTTAATAGGGTTTTCACTTTTCTTAGGATCCTTGGAGGCATTATTTTGTTGTTGTTTATTTAACTTAGTTTATTGTTGATTCCGGGATATATATTTGTTGAGTTTGAAATAAATTAATTTTGTTTATAATATCTTGTGTTCTGTTGTCATTGTGGCTTCAAAGCCCTGAATCCTGCGGACCTGAGGACCTGAGCAGCATCCTCCTGTTACAGTTTCATAGGCCATATGGCCGGATGTTATATTTTATTGAGTGTTTTAAAGTGTCTATGTATGTTTTATGTATAACATGTGACACACAAATAAAATATTTTCTTTTTCTTAGTAATCTCTTACCATCTCTTTACCATTGAATATTCATTCAGTTCGGTTGGCAGCTAAGCGCCCGGAAAAAAACTGTTGGTTCAGGAACTGAAAGCTTAGTTTATTTAGGAATTAACCGCAGGTCACATATATGTTCTCTGCTTGGTCGGCTCAATTTAAAGCCTTGCATTCTTAAGCAGAATTTGCAACTATGCGTGAGAAGGTATGCATTTGAGCTGATTTAAATGTCCATTTATGTTGACTTCTTGGCCAATGGAATACACAAGGCGAGGATGGCACTAGTGATGAAGCAGGCACCTGCAACGGAACAATGAACAAATATACACAGAGTTAAAAAGATATGTACCTATGTCCGGTGTCCTCCGCCGTGGTATTGCTGATATATTTCTGAAACAGCTTAAAACTATACTCCCTTACTATAAAATATGCAGACAACAATGAGGCACTGATGTTGGGAGACATTTTGTACTGAAACAACTAGACAACAAGCACATTAAATGTATATTTACAGAAAATAAAATCCGATGTTTACAAAGAAAACATGTTGTTTCTAAAAAATGTACGATTGTGGTTTTCCTCTTAAAATTAATTGTTTGTCTTTATCAGAAATAAAAGGTAACCGCCTCACAATCAATGGTTTGTCAATTGTTTGAAAACATTTTCCTGCAGGTTCAGCATTCTTGAACATGGGGAGTAAACAATGAAGCATACAACTTTATGGATGACATCTTGTTTATTGCACAGAGCGACCTTTTGATGTAGATTCTTACACTGTTATCAATCTTTACGCGATAACGGTGCAGAAATCTACATCGAAACGAGGCTCTTTACAGTAAACAAGGAGTTGTCATCCATAAAGTTGCATGCTTCATTAATTGCTTGTCGTACTGATTAGTCCAACAAATGGGACGCGAAGGTTTATGTCTGAACAAAATACAAAGTCTACACTTACTCTCTGATCACTTAGTGGACTATTCTCTTTCGACATATTTGCATCTGGTGGAGTGCATAAAACTTATTTTACTTGTTTCCTTACAATAGTGCGATTTTTCAATAAGGGTGATCACAATTACCTACCTGAGAAAAGAAACGTGAAGTCATACACTCCAGTACTTTATAGATAAGGCCTGAAACACAAAAACTAAAATCTTAAGTCATATATACCAAAATGCATATTTGGGTATCTATGACTATGCATGTTTCATAACTAGTTCATACCACCACGCACCAGTCAGGTAATGGGACCCGTGAAAGTCCGGGTTAGAATGTACCTTCAGTAACCCATGCTTGTCGTAAGAGGCGACTAACGGGATCGGGTGGTCAGGCTCGCTGGCTTGGTTGACACATGTCATCGGTTCCCAATTGCGCAGATCGATGCTAATGCTGTTGATCACTAGATTGTCTGGTCCAGACTCGATTATTTACAGACCGCCGCCATATAGCTGGCATATTGCGGAGTGCGGCGTAAAACTAAACTCACTCAACCACTCAGGTAGTGGGATACGAGCCGTCTATGAACACATTAATTAACGCATTATCGTATCAGCCACTCACACATTCACCGGCAAAATATACGTCCAAGTGTAACCTACTTGCAATGATTGGTCCAACCATGTTGCCGAGTCCAAAGAAAAAGGAACATATACCATAGCCAACGGCCAATTTGGATCGGCCTATCAGCTCAATGCATATAGGACTAACCAATGTAAAAGGTCCCTGACTGTATGTACCATACAGGGCACTGAAAATCATTTGGAGACTGTACGTATGTGACAGCACGGGGAGTAACAGAAGGGATACTCCTGTCATTCCTAGTAGTCCAACGTGAAGGATAATGTTTCCAATAGCTGGATCAGAAGAGGCAAAACCAGCCAGCAGTCCGGAACAAAGTGCAGGCACACCCATGACAGTGAACAAACTTGCAGACTGTGCAGGTGTACTGCCTCTCAATTCAGCAAAATTTGGTAAATGAACCATGCAGGCTGCATCCCCAAGAGACCAGAAAAGGATACTGAGCAGATACAAGAAAAATCCATTTGTGCAGAACAAGGCTACACATTGAGGTATTATCCTACTCCGTGAGTTTTCAGTTGTTAATAGCGCGGTGTGTTCAGACAGAGATTCTGCCGTTTCATTACTTCTCCCAGGACAGTCCTCGTCACGCTGTTCAGACTTGACGGTCGTATTTTCTGCAGTTAGAACATTATGTTGCGATTGCATCGTCATTGTAGGGTCTCCTTGTGCATCACAAATCTCCCCTGTGTCTTCTTGGCGAGCAAGATCTACTGACATTGACTCCTCTTGCATCAGTGGTCGAATTAGAGCTCCAGCTAAGCACACATTGCATGCAATGGCACCCAAAATAAGCAACGCGCCTGATAATCTGTACATCTCTAACAGCTGAACTGCTAATGGTCCGATTACCAGCAGTCCTACTCCACCTCCAGACATGCAGATACCGTATGCTACTTGGAGTCTCTTATTGAAGTTGTTGCTCGGAGCCACGCCACTCACGTTAGCAGCCAGACCACAACCTAAACCTGTGGATATAAATACAGACGTTAGCAGGTTGTGGAAGTATACATGAATGAGTTATTACGCGTAAATTCACAGAATAATCAACGACGTACGAGAAATTACGGAAAATGTGTCACTTTTTAAAGTTCCTGTCAGATCTCCATCCACTTTCAGAGGTCATAAACTTTCAAGGTGACAAATGGTCAGCCATGTTTACAAACGCGAATTTAGCTGTAACTTTTTGTAATTGCTTTGATTGTAAACTGAAACTCATGAGAAATGAATGTTTGGTTGACCATAATGTGAAATGTTGGTGATCAGAACTATGTTCCGGTCTTGTAAATCTCGAAATAGTGAGACTGTAGCACGTACAATATATGGAAAAGAATGCCCTGGATTTGTGAATGAAGTCAGTGAGAGAGAAATAGATCCGTCGTCCAATGAAAATACATCTTTGTTTAACTGTCTGCTTCGAGGATCATTTACTAACAGCACACTGTGTAAATATCAAAAGGATACCAGCTTCCACTTATTTTAACCCTTGAGGTAATAACTAAAAAAATAGCATTAGGTTAATTCGGCACCTCGAAATTTGGTGGCCTCCCACTACTGAGTTTCAAATATCTCAACTCAATAATGTTGTCAGAATCTACCAAGCACATTTGAAGATTATTTTTGTAAGATACATTTCTTTCATTTTTTATTTTGGTTTAAGACCATGAATCAAAGTGCCACATTGACCATACTGTTCGAGTCAAGTATACACAGCAAGCATGTTGAATCTTACCTGCTATGACTCCAAACGTAAGGATCAAACCAGTGACAGTCCTACAAAAGGATGCAGCTGTCAGTCCTACAAACATCAATATGCCACCCAGAATACCTGTCCATCTGTTTCCAATTCTGTCTTGAATAATTCCTGCCAATGGTCCTGAAAAAGTCCGTCATTAGTTTGGTATGTTTGTAGCTGTGTGTCCGAATTTCATTTGAAACATTTTGTTCTTTGAAGGAACCATGTATTTCTTTCATCATACTGTTTCTACAACAAACTTTAGTAAATATGCTGCATATTTAGTGTTTTTTTCTTCCTGTAATGAACTTCAACATGGGAACTTCAACATTATTTCGTGGTTGAGCATCAATCATTGCAGACAAATGTTTCAAAATACTGATGAACAGTCACTTATGTATTACGTGAGATACCGAACGTGTGTCCCTAATGTGTACACAATGACCCTGAGTTGTGTGTGGCAAATACTGACGTAACAATAAGGTCTTCCGAGTCTTGCAGACTGTCGGTTCTTTAGGAACCGCACAGATACGTATGCCTGCTCAAATCAATGTCAATAGGTATCACCTAATTGCCCAATCAATCAACCTGTCAATAAAGTACATCTAAATGTACAATACATAGTTCCTATGTGGTATCCTCCCAAAACTTCCACATCCCAAAACTTCCACAGCTTATAACAACAACATTTCTGGTTGACTGCACACACTTTAGCATACTGATTACCTCAGTCTGTAATGGTTTAACCCATTAATCAGTAGTGAATACAAACAATCACTTAGTAATATATTAACACAAATACATATCTTTTCTGGTTTGATATAACAGTCTATGTAGAATATTTGTATCGAACTTATGTCCTATAGTGTCTAAGATTTCACCCGCACATTTGACAGTCATAACCCTGTCACTTTGTACTCTTGTTGGAGCAAGTGGACGGTTCTGTCTCTGATGCACCTGAAGAGTCTGACGTAGAAGAACACGACTGTGATAATGTTGTTACTGTAGTGACATTATATACCGTCACAGTGTCACTGCCGTAACACGCAGTTTTTTACATGACAGGGACATCCAAAAGTAAATCTGTTGCCTATTACATATTCTTTAAACATCCTGAAATATCTGACTGACAATTTTCATAAAATTATCTTTAAAAGTAAACATATAAAACTGGCTATTATTAAAAATGTCACTACCGTTATTGTGTCACTACCATAACAATTAATGCCAATGTCCATACCACAACATTATCGATGTCCTTATTTCATTAAAATTGATTTATGTGTTTATGTCTGAAATTTGTAGTGCAAGTATGTTTGGTAGTAGAGCTTCACGTAAGCATAATACAAATCATATTCTCATTTTAAATTTTTTGCTACACATTACTTTATATTTGCAAATCAGATTTGAAAGGAATTGTTTGGCCCCTTTTAAGAGATAAATATAAAATTTCAAAAACCCATTAGCCATGTTATATTGTAAAACTACATATTTTAATATACATGTACATTAAATGTACGTTAAGCTTGCATAATTTATGTTTTGTATATTCAGAATACTATGAAAGTAATCAACAACAGTTCAAGGTAAAATAACAATACAAAATTTACAATTTTTGCCTACATGAAATATACACGAATTTATATTATAGATATATTTCCGATTCATTAACTAAATATATATATAACTGCTCTCTTCTCTACTAAAATCTGTACTCTGCTAAGTCAGGTGATATATAATTATCTGTTGTTTCAGTTCAGTGCTCTTCCTGGGCTATCCTATTACCTACAAAGGGGTGATGTTGAGTTGTTGTTTTAACAATGTGTGCTGGTATTGGGATGTGTAAGTTTTGGGATGTGGAAGTTTTGGGATATAACCTATATATATATCATTATATAACAAAGCATTAAGAGGTACATTGAACAATAATGTAATGGAGTAATGCACATTTGCTCTCCGTGGTGAATCAGGCGTGAGCAACAGAATAAACCGTAATGATATGAATTGCCTTCTCAAACGAGTTTGCCACACACGTAGTTTAACATTCGACCTGAACCTCTGCTCTGTTCAACTGACAGCTAAAACGTATTGTTGTAGCCCTGAAACAAGCACACTTACCGCACATTGAGAACGTTCCAAGTAATGTTGACCCTACCCACGATACTTTGACCAAATCGCCATCAACCTCTTCCAGAATGGCCGGTGTAATGACCCCAGGTGAAGAGTTTAGAGCACCACAGAGCACCTGCATAGCAAAGCAAGCACCACAAACCACCCATGCATATCCGCGATCAATGTCCTTTGTTTGGCGCTTCATGGTTTTGTTTTCCAACAGACATCCAGTGTTTTGTCCTATATTCTTGAATGTGTCTTCTTCCTCAAAACCTGAGTACGGTTTGCATCTACTTTGTATAGTATTTCTGACGTGTCATAGTGGTTCCTGCAAACCAAGCAGTATGTATTCCACAAATAATAAAGTGATAAGACACGACGTTTAGAATAGTGTTGATTTTTGTGTACATTTTCAATATTAATTTGGTGATATTTGCATGTAGGCCTCGTTTCGGAACGTTTGAAAATGTTCACATCTTCATACATAAATAGCCACGCCCTTCCATTATCTTGGAAGCTGCCTTATAAATCATACTTATTTAAAGTACACTGGTAACCGCCTAAGTAAAGACCGCTTAACTAAACAGACCGGATAAGTAAACACTATTCTTTAGTCCTGGCAAATTTCTTCATTAATTATCACTATTAGAGTCCGGTTAACTAAACTCGGATAAGTAAACAATACCGCTTAACTAAAGGTCTTCTCACGACATTAATGGAATACTGTGTACGGCACTTTATAAGGTACAACTGACATCACTGTATGGTAGCTATTGTTGGACTTCAATGTCGGTAGTTGTACGTTTTGCATGACGCCAGAGAGACACGGAGCCTCGTAGTTAATGAAAACTAGAATGGGATCAAAACAATTTAGAGAATAAGACAGTAAACGTCGAAGTGAAGACTATGCAGGCTAAGCTCATTAAAAGCCTCAGTTCCGCCCCCCCCCCCACCACCAAAAAAGGAGAAGAAAACAAAAATACAAACCCCACTACGAAGCCTTCTCCATGTCACAGCGAATCACTTGTGTATGGAACTGGGCACTGGTTTTTGATATCAGTTAACAATATTCATAAACGCTTACAACACCAAATACTAAAGTATGTTTATAATGTTTACTATGTATAGTCCAAAGGTCTGGAGATATGTTGTATCACTGACACATGTTTTCATTACCATTTTACCATGTATAAACAATCACTTTCAAGCCCTAAATTTGATCATACAAAATACATTCATTCATTACAATTTAAGCACCATTACGAAAGAATATAAATATTTCGTTTCATGAGTTGGTTGGATTGGGTTAGTTTTGCGTCACATCGGCATTATTCCAGCCATATAGTGACGAGAACAAGTTTGCATTAATAAACATTTTAAGTACATACTCGGAATGAGTTTTATTTCAAAAACATATATTCATTACATTGTCATTTAAAAGCAGAAAAAGTCATAGCACCAAATTTAAAGGTGGGCAATTTGTTAGTCACATTTCACAGTTACAATTTATGATAGTGATATTTCACAGTCACAATTTATGATACAGATCAATTTCCCTCAGGCAGTTCACTATCAGATGAGCGCTCACGCGGGAGAACAGATCTTTTAGATTCGTTGCATCATATTGTGAGTCCCTTGCAGACGATAGGTCCACGCATTCAAGCAGGATATGCTTGATGGTGAAAACCTCATTGCAAGAGACACACATGGGGGGTCGGTCCATCCCCATCCGTTTTAAGCAGATAGTCATGAGTAAACCGACTGTGGCCAATACGACATCGACATCGTCGTAAAATTACCTCGTCACGTCTTGACTGACAACCCAAGTAGGTATAACCAATTGCTGGCTTCAATTTATACAGTTTATTTCTTTCTACTTGAGTGTCCCATCTTTTTTGCATGAGGTCCCGAGTATAGCTTTTGATAGTGGGTTTGAAATCACTGTACGGGATCAGCAGTGGAGATAAGGGCTTGTCAAGAGCTGCTTTTGCTGCAGCATCAGCTTTTCTGTTACCTGCTATGCCCACGTGACCCGGCAACCAGCAGAGGACGATGTCACTGTGGCCAGTAGAGAGGTCGTTGTAAAGTTCTAAAATGTCCAGAATGATTGGGTGGCTTGAAATAACATTTTGAAGTGCTTGAAGGCAAGATAATGAATCTGTGAAAACGATGAAGTTTTTGGAATGATTCTGCTGTTTAATATAGGTCAAAGCTGAAAAGATAGCTTTGGCCTCGGTAGTGAAAATGGAACTGTTGTCGGGAATCCTAGAGGAGACAGTCTTATATCCAATGACTGTAGCACTGGCAACTAGGCCCTCATCCTTGGATCCGTCTGTGAAAATGGATCTATGGGTATCATATTTGGAACGTAACTGGATGTATTCCTGCTGGAACACCAAGGGATTTGTTTCAGACTTTCTGAGTTTAGAGAGGGTAAGATCGACCTGTGGTTTCACCATCTGCCAGGGTGGTGAAGACAGGAGTCGGTAGGGTGCTATGCTACTGAGATCAATTTTAGCTGCAGATATGTGTGGTTGGATTCTGATTCCAAGTGGTGGAACCAGGCTTGGCAGTTTAGGAAACAAGTTTTCATAGAGAGGGTTGAAAACAGAATTGTATGCTGGATTGGACTGATTTGAACGTAGTTTAGTGATATACTGCAGTGAAAGTGTAATGCGGCGTTGTTCAAGGGAAGGTTCGTTAGCCTCTGCATATAGACTGTCTACCGGAGAGGTCCTAAAAGCTCCCAGACAGAGCCTTAGGCTTTGGTGGTGGATAGAATCTAATTTTTCTAAATTGCTTTTGCAGGCTCCACCATTAACAATAGGTAATCTGATCCCCTCCCCATTCTGTATTTGAAACGACTTTTAGTAAGTCCAGAGCCTTCATGCACTTGGTTTTCAAATATTTTATGTGTGGTAAGAATGTCAGGTGGCGGTCGAATATGAGTCGCAGGAATTTGGCCTCTTCTACTACCTTGATGGGAGTACCATCTAAATATACGTCTGGATCCTTGTGTGGTCTGTATTTACGACAAAAGTAAATTTGTTTTGGATTTTGAAAACTTAAAGCCATTTTCATTGGCCCATTTTTGGATTTTGTTAAGGCAGAGTTGTAGCTGCCTTTCTATTGTGTGCATGTTCTTACCACGGCATGAAATATTGAAATCGTCCACGAAAAGGGACCCATCAACACAACTGTTCAGGACGTTAGTGAGGCTGTTAATTTTGATGCTAAAAAGGGTGACAGACAGGATGCTGCCTTGAGGGACGCCCTGATCTTGGTGGAAATAATCAGACAATGTGGAACCTACCCGTACTTGAAATTGTCTGTTGTTTAAAAAATGAGATATGAACTGAGGTAATCTGCCCCTCAATCCAAAATCATGTAAATCATTTAAGATACCATGTTTCCACGTTGTATCATATGCTTTTTCTAAATCGAAGAAGATAGATACAGTATGTTGTTTGTTGACGATGGAATTTTTTATGAAAGATTCCAGACGCACCAGATGGTCAATGGTACTTCGGTTTTTACGGAAACCACATTGGAGGTCACTAAGGAGGTTATTGGTCTCCAAGTACCAGATTAATCGATTGTTGACCATGCGCTCCATGGTTTTACAAACACAGCTAGTTAGTGATATAGGACGGTAGTTTGAGGGATCGGTATGATCCCGGCCAGGTTTTGGTATAGGGATGATAATGGCGTTGTGCCACTAAGGAAGAAAGTTGCCGGTTGTCCAAATGTCTTCAAATATATTGAGTAGAGTTTCCAAACTTGAATCAGGAAGGTGTTTCAGAAGCTGATAATGAATATCATCAGCTCCTGCTGCAGTGTCGTGAGCCTGCCCTAGTGCAGTACGTAGTTCATGGAGAGAAAACGTTTCATTGTAATCCTCACCATTATCAGAGTTAAAATTGACTGGTTTCTTTTCCTTTTGGGTTTGGTATTTCTGGAACTTAGGGTTATAGTTTGACGAGGAGGAGTAGTTTGTCAAAGTTTCGCCAAGTTTGTTTGCGATTTCAACTTTATTGGTTAAAAGGGAGTCACCATCTTTGAGATGGTGAACACCAGATTTGGATCCTTTGCCCTTAATCTTTTGAATCATGTTCCACACCTTGGACATGGGTGTGCGGGAGTTGATTTTGGACACATATTTCTTCCATGACCGGCGTTTAGTTTGTTTAAATGTACGTCTTGCCCCCCTGCTATTTGTCATTTTAACGGCATTCAGGTTAGGCACAGTAGGGTGTTGGCGGAAGTATTGTTCCGCCTTCTTCCTATTTTTCCTAGCTTGTTTGCAGTTTGTATCAAACCATGGTTTGCGTATGTGCGGGTTTGCAGAAGACTTAGGAATAATTTCGTCTCCAATAGTATTTAAGATATCAGAAAATAGTTCCATGGGATCAGGAAAATTCCTGAAGTTGTCCGGTATAAGCTTTTCAGAGCAGAGAGTTTGGAATAATGGCCAATTGGCCATCTTGTTGAAGGTGGTTCGTCCGCGGGAGTAACTGGAGTAAGAATAGTTGGGAAGTGGTCACTTCCACAAAGGTCATTGTGGACCGACCATTCAAACTCGTTTAAGAGATTAGAATCCGTAAGTGATAGATCAAGTGCAGAGTATGTTCCAGTGGCAGGATGGAGATAGGTGTTTGATCCATCGTTGAAGATGCATAGATCATTATTGGAGAGAAAATCTTCAAGGACCTTTCCCTTATTATTTATGTTATGTCCGTTCAGGTCGCCCATGCTTATGCAGGGCTTTGGGTGTTGATTATACAAGTTCTGAAGATCTGATAGGTGGACAGTTGAGGAGGGAGGAAGATAGAGTGAACATAGTTTAAACCATATGTTCAGAGTCATGCGGACAGCAACAGTTTGTAGGTTGGTGTTAAGTGGAACAGGGCTATGGAGGATGCCCTGCCTCACCAGGATAGAAGTGCCTCCTGTAGCTTTTACACCGGGAGGAGAAAAGGAGTGATAGGAACTGTACCGACGGATGTCAAATTTATCAGTCCTTTTTAGGTAGGTTTCTTGGAGACAAAACGCGGATGGTTTGAAGTCTTGAATCAATAACTGTAATTCGTTATAATTATTCTTAAGTCCTCTGCAATTCCATTGAATCATATTTTGTGGATTCATGGTGCTTCCACTGGTGACATGTCACGTGAACGTGAGAAAGCGTTTGATGAACTCCTATTTGTGTCAGGTGGAGATGGAGTTACCTCCATATCCAGAAGACCAAAGGAGTTATGGACCTCGACGGTGACCTCTGAAGGAGAGGTGGCCTTTGGTTTTGTGTTTTGCAGTTGCTCAAGCTGCTTTAGTCTCTCTAGCCTCTTTTTCCCTTTTTTGCACGTAGTTTCTGTTTCTGGTTTTGGCATTTGTTCTGGTGTTTGTGATTCAGAAGTTTTGACTTTTGGCTTTAGAGATGGAGTGGCTGAGATGGGCTTAGTTGTGTCGAGTTGAGTTGGTTGAGAAGACATGACCCATGTCAGGTCGGTCTGACATGAGATAGTTGCAGTAGCCATAGAAGGACGGGAGACAGCAGAAGAGTACGTGATGGTTAAAGTGGCTGCAGTTAAACTTGCAACCCTCTTCTTAGCTTCATGAAAGGAGACATTTTCTTTGTGCTTGATCTTTAGGATCTCGGATTCGCGTTGCCACACTGGACAAAACTTGGAAGAGGCCATATGGTTACCACCGCAGTTTGTGCACTTCACTTCCTTAGTACATTCATTGCCCTCATGTTTGTCACCACAGCGGTAACAAACAGCAGAGGAACGACAGGACTTGGATCCATGTCGTAAGTAATGTGGTTCGGCATCCCCTCTCCCCACCCACCATGGAGTGTCAACAAGGACGATCTTATATTGCAGTGGATCTCATAGCTGCAAAGACCGGGGATAAGGGGGTGTTATACTCCAGCGAATTTGACATGAAATGCTGTAGCTGCCTACCAGATTAAAGGTCAGGATGGTTCGGTCCATGACAATCAATTGGAGGCGTACAGAAATCGGAGGTCAGCATCACCAGATTGGCCAATGAGCCACCGCCTTCTGTGCCTGGGTCTGTGAGGCTAATTTGTTTTGAACATGGCCAAAAGTGTTATGCAATACCAAATTTTGTATAGACATTCCATGCACAGGGCAAGGCGTGACCAGCCGAATGGTAGAATCGGGCCTATTCTACCACCCTTCTAGGCAAAGTTAGGGTCGAAGTGGTGTGTTGGATTATTGAACACTATTGCCGGTTCCGTCATCCTCAACCACCAGACTCCCTTCCTCTGCCAACACAGGGATGCAACCCACGGCAAACGGTTTGCCCAATTTGGTCGCCTCTTACAACCAGCAATGGGGTGCTGTGGACCTATTCGACCCCGGGTCCACACGGGGGCGAAGAGCCATTGGCGTTACCCAGCACCCACCACGAGGAGGTTGCTCTTCAAGGGTGCCTTCGTTTCATGACCATACAGTTCAAGCGATTAGCACATAAGGACAGTTTCACATTCAAATTTTAGCGGTCAATGGCGCTTCAACAAGTTTCCGCATCACCCCTCCCAGGAGGGTGACGACTGAAAAAATATTACCAGCTGCCACGGTTACCGCTAAACTCTCCGCCGAGAAGCTGTATCGCTAACAATCGTATGACGTCATAATATGACGCATGCAGTGACCGGAGTTCGAAAACTGTTCGATTAGCTGTTTTTGAGTTCACTATGTACCGATTTATTTTACTGACTTTCACTGCTTATTTAAACTATCTCATACATTGAATCTTTTGCACACTCAACTTAAACATAATTAACCATTTTATAGCAGTTTGAAGCTTGTCAGTACATGTTTTCACTGATTTAGAAATCCAGTCGAGAGGCAGACGCCATTTTGTTTACATGTCATACAGTCGGTAACGATCTTCAAAATAAAATAAAATGATGTTTTGTACCTTTAACATGGTGGTATGATAAATACGTGGTATGCTCGGGTAATACGGTCTTATGTACGTCTTTCCGTGGCAGTGTCATCCCTCGCCTACCGGCTTGCGTGACACTGCTAGAAACAGGCGTACATCAGACACTCGAGAGAAGCATACAACTTATAATGTCCAGTGTATGTGTGAGTGATTGAGTGAGATACGATTTTAAGTCACCTCGGCAGTATTTCAGCCATATCGTGACTAAACACAAGTTATAACTGCATAATAAATCATGGCAAATTATAAAAACCTGTCGGCGAAGGACAGTAAAAATAACTAGAATATGATAGATGTAATTATAAAACTAGCATGAAAATCTAAAATATCTTAACTATAAAAGACAATACAATATAAAAGGGCTATAGAGGGCAACTAAGGGTAGATCACCTTACTAGGGACCATGGGGACTTACAGTGTCTTTGCTACCTGCATGGACCCTAGCTGGATTTACACCGTACCTTCAGCCGCTGGCAATTGTAGGAAAGCTAAATACTACGTTTAAAGATCTGGTAAGTTTAAATATACTTTGAAAGTGTTGGGACTTACGTATCCTCTCAGGAGGACACTACTTTTAAGATATGTTAAGCCCTTTGAGGATACAGCCACTAACAATCAAGTGTATGGTGCTACATTTATACCAATAAACTTCACTGAATTAGCAAGCATTCTTTTAAGCTGTATTTATCAACAGTAAGGCTATGTCACAGCAGGGTTATAACGCAAATAATCTTCAAACATAGTACCCATATTGGGAATCGAACTATGGACGTCGGGGTGACGTATTTGTCCTTAATGACATCAAAACAACACTACACAGACAAGTCTGTCAATATGAACGACTGTCAAATCGAGTTTCAAACTTTGGTTACCTAGCTTTTTTCAAAGTGATTTCATTTTTATACACTTTGCAGTCATGTTTCTGTAACAGAAGGAAGTGGTGTTAATTTTCTCTAATGTGACAACTGCCTCACATATTTTACTGTCCGGTATCCAAGATGAAGGGTGTATTTTGTTTGCGATATAATCTACCATGTTGACCTATTCCTTCCATCTGTTCTTTATGCTTCTAGGGGAGCAGAAATTTCTCATGAATATTGAAAAGGGTCTGTTTCTAGCATTTATATGTAGGTTTGAATTTCCTGATACTTCTTTCATTTTGGCAAAACGGTGTTGTGTGAATATTATTTCAATGTTTATGACAATATTCCAGAAATACAAGAATAGACAACATCTGAAATGTGCTACAGACATTGCATCCCATCTGGGTACTTGAATGCGATAACACTTTATCACTGAGATACTCCTTTCAACAAAGAGGGCGGTGAGGTAGCCTAGTTGTTAAAGCGTAGGCTCGTCACGCCGAAGGTCCAGGTTCGATTCAGCACACGGGTGCAATGAATGATGTCCATTTCTGGTGTCCAAGCTGTGCTATTGCTGGAATATTGCTAAAAGCGGCGTACAACCACACTCACCCACTTTCCACGAAGACAAATGCCGAGCTTAATTCACATTTGTGGTGTTTGGGAATGTGTAAGTACCCTCGCTGTGCTGATACATTACAGTTCAAGCCTTATTTCAGGGTTATCTACAATAGGTAGGTACGTATACAAAGTACAACTACGAATTGACACATACACACCTCAGTTCCCTTACCCCATACCAGTCAACAACTACGAATTAACACATACATACCTCAGTTCCCTTACCCCATTCCAGACAACTACGAATTGACACATAGACACCTCAGTTCCCTTACCCCATACCAGACAACAACTACGAATTAACACATACATACCTCAGTTCCCTTACCCCATACCAGACAACAACTACGAATTAACACATACATACCTTGGTTCCCGAACCCCATACCAGACAGCAGGTACTATCTATGACATAATACCATATTTGCCGTACACCACCCCAGAGAGCCGATTGACCTTTCACACATATATCTTATCTGTCACTCGTGATAACATGTACGTCAAATACATGTACAGTCATACGATGTCACACACACAATATGCATACATCGAGAAAACCTTGAAGACTTAAAGATGAATATACTAAGGCTATGCTATAAACGAAAATACACACATTCAACGAATCTATTCGATATTTTCGATAGCAAAGAAACACCCAAAGAAACATCACATGGTCATGACGGTAATCAATACTCACCGGCTGAATGTTATCAGTGTCGGTGCAGTGTACTCCCGTGCCCAGACTGCGCTTGTGATTCAAGGCTACTAGGTCACTGCAAATGCGCAGTAACAGCTACAGTTAAAGGCGTAGGTAGTCATGCAAATCAAGCCTTTTGAAACATGCACTTGGTGGACTCAGTACGCACTAGACCAGAAATAATCGACGTAAAAGGGAAATAACCTAAACATTTGTGATAACAAGCCAGTTATTGCAGAAAAGTGTTCACATGTGTCTATTTAGCATGTGCACAAAACCCAAGAAAACCAAGAATGGGGAAATACGTTTTTGACGGTATCCAGCAAACTACACAAAGGCAGTTGTAAGGACATAGCACCGTTGGTGTGTAAACAAACACCTGCCAACTGCCAAGTGTTCTCAGGGGTTAGGTCTCTTAATGCCTACAGGCAATAATAGCTACGGAGTATGCTGTTTTAGGTGAGCAGCAGTGATACGCTTTCCTGCACACAAGTGGTCACTTCCACCCTAATGAGTTTAACCTGTTTACACTATGAAAACTTCCTAGAGATATCTCATCATATCAGCACAAGCAGTGCCTTATGTATCCTTTTTGCTTGTTTTCAATACAATGTGTCTATCTTTCTCAACAGGAACTATATATGTAAAAGCAATTTAATTACTTCTGTTTAGCATGCAATAAATTTTGTACTGAGTAAGTTTGAGAAGGAAATATGTTGAAATAAAATGGGACTTCTGCATAGTTTGGTTCAAATCATGTCGAATCCAAAGAAGGTAGAGTACTACTCGTCGCAGAAAGGTGGGCAGCAAGTTATGTTACAGGCTGAATAACCGGCGCCTGACATGTGTGCACTCGAAGTGTGTACAAGGTTGTTGTCTAGGCAAATGTACCACAGTTTCAGCCAACTAGCATCCAAACAGACTTTGAAATCGCCGCCATCAGAGCCACAGAAGCAGTGTTCCCAAATAGTGCTGTCCGTGGTTGCTACTTTCACTATTCACAAGCTCTGTGGAGGAAGGTGCAAGAACTTAAGTTCACTGATGTCTGTCTCCAGGATCCTGAGGTGTATACTCGGATTAGGCGTGCTGCAGCTCTACCCTTTCTGCCTGCAAGGCAGGTTCAGGATGCCTGGGTAGAGATCATGGAAGATGCTCCCGAGATTCCACAGAAGGTCCAGTGGCACGACTACATCATCAGCACCTGGGTTGACGACCATGCCTTCTACAGAGTCGGAATCTGGAACCAGCATGACAACCTAGGACCTCGCACGAACAACCATCTCGAGGGGTGGCATTCCCATCTGAACAAGGTCGTCATGAGAGCTCATCCAAACACCTTTGCGTTGGTGAAGGTTCTTCAGAAGCCTGAGAAGACCGAACGGAACAAGCTTGTTCAGTTCATCCATGGAGCTAAACCACCGCCACGACGTCGTGTGTACAAGGAGATTGACAGCAGGCTTGATAGACTAAAGGATCAGCTACGAGCTGGTGTGAAGGCTCCCTTGGACTTTCTCAGTGCTGTTGGTCGACTAGTGAAGATGGAGTAAAACAAATTCTCAGACGTTTTGCAGTTCAAAATATGCATAAGATGATGTAAAGATATTTGAGCCTGTCAGATGTAAAGATATGAATTCAATTAGTGTTCCATTTCACAAATATATAAAAAAAACCAGCATTTTTCATTGTGTAGGCATTTGTCCACCTTGTCTGTTGGAATGTACAATTTATGTAATGGGGAGAAGATACTGCTGCTTGAGATCACTGGTGCATTACTTTGTTTATTCTACACTGTAGGCATTTGCCACTGTAGGCATTTGGAGACTACGCCGTCTCAGGACACCGACCTTTCGATTTTCCACTAGTCTCAGGACGCCCAGCTGCGGTTTTCTTTGTTTGAAGGTTAGGCTCTGATTAGGCGTAATTAGGGTTGCGGATAATCTACTCTAGATTTTGATAAGGTGAACTCGTCGCACAAGGTGAAGTACACTGGTCCAGTACGCTGCTGGCCAGAAGCGTCCGTCCAAGAAGATGAAATACAAGGACTTGGAGCGACGACTAGATGACATCCGTCACCAGCTCGGACAAGGAACACTGTCTGTAAGGCAGTTTGCTGATTCAGCATCCCACCTGTTGCATTTTGGTTAAAATTTGTCGATCAATTTCTGTGAAAAATGTGTGCAATATGTATCACGAGTACGCATCGGATTTGCAATGTATTTATACACTCAAAGCCATAAGTTAAGCGCCACCGGATTAAAAACATCACTCAGGACCATTCTCTACAGAGAGCGAGACAAGACCATTCCTAGACTCCCTGCCAACCGACGTGAGATTCAACTTGAGGGACAGTGGACCTTGACCAAAGCAGGAGAACCTCCATCGCATCGACGACAACATCGTCATCTTCGCGACAAACAAGAGCAATGAGCGCATGTGTGCAGCAGATACAGTGTATGGCGACGGCACCTTCTCCCCAGCTCCCCGGTTGTTCGAGCAGATCTACACACTGCATGCTGAGTATCAAGGCGATATGTTCCAGTTCGTCTACTGTCTGCTGTCCTGGACTACACCTATCACGTCGCTGACCTGGTCCACCTTCAGTGATCCACCTCCACATGATCCATCAATGTGACTTATCGGTGAACAGTCTGTGAGGTGAGGTGAAATTGGGTTTTTACGTCGTGCTTGAGAATATTTCGCTCATATGACGACGTGCATGCATGTGTATGTGTATGTGCGGCTGCTTGTACTAGCCCAGACTTAAGCTGGTTATATAGTGCTAGCCCACTGAGATACCATGCCGCAGTGAAGCATGAATACCCCACTCAGACACATTATATTGACTCCGAGCCGACCAGTCCTTGTTGTACCAATTAATGCCGAGCGCCAGGCAGGGTCCAACAAATACCATATTTTAACGTCTTTTTGGTATGACGCGGTCGGGGATCGAACCCGCTCCGGGCGGACGCTCTAACTACTACACCACGGAGGCGGTGTGAACAGTCTGTGGCTCAAAGTAGTGGTAGTTATTTGCTTTAATTAACGTCGCACGCACAGCTAAGGTATTTCGGCGACGGGGTAGTACCCTTATTAAGAAATGAGGGGGAACAAAAAACAACTGAGTATTAAAGGAAATTTGAATGGGAGGCCGAATTAAAAAAGTAAAAAATATGAAATAGTTAAAGAGTAATACAGATTTGGAATTTCATATAGATGTAGTGTAGTAAATGGTTATTGTTATTGTCTTTAAAACCAACCCATGTTTATAAACATATTTATTAGGATGCTTTGATCAGCAGCAGTAATTAATATGTCTGTTATTTGATGGATCAGTTTGTCTGCATCTTCAGGAAAGTTGGTTGAAACTTGTTGTGTGCAGATTATTTGCCATATTTATTTTTATGGTTATGTTTTCTATTTCTTTTAAGTTGATATCGATTTGTTGGTAGTCGATGACTTGTTTAATTAAAGTGATGAGTCCGCCCTTTGGGGGTCCTTTGATGTTTGTGGTTTTATCTCTTCTGAATATATTAAAAGTGGAAAATACCGGTGTATAGATTTTCTTGTTGATATTCTGGTTTCTTGTAGAAGAATTATATCAGGTGATGTTTTGACGAGCGTTTAGCCCGTTGCAGTTCCACTGTAATACACCTACCGACATGATGAAATATATAAATAAAAACATGAATGAAAGCAAAATATTAATGTGATGATGTGTGTGTATTTGATGAACCATATTATCGTCGTCGGGGGTGATAGCCTGGTTTTTAGCTCTTTGAAGGTTGGAGTGTGAGACGGTGATAGTTACTGCCTTCGTAAACTGTTTGAGTGTTTTGGTATATATTCTGATTTTTGTTGCTAGTCTGATGGTCTGAAGATTGTAAGGATACTTCCTTCCAAGGTTGTAGATTTAGACGGGGGTTGGGGTGGGGGGTCGGGGTGTGTGTTTGTTGTTGTTGATCTAAGTGCCACATCCGTAATGAATTCAACCAAAGTATTGAAGTTGGGTTGGGTTGTGGCTCAATCATTTAGTGTTATTTATTTATCAAATGCCTACAATGACTACCGTATCAGACGACGACTCACATTTGTTTGTTTTTCTTGTGTATTGAGAGTCCCGGGAACGCTAAATTATTCAGTGTTTACTGTAGCGTGACCGTTCCCGCGTAAGCGACACCTAAATTGAGGAGGTTTAGTCCAGATTTCGCTTTGCCAGGCCATAACCTGCTCAATGACAGAAATAATCATTTGTTGCATAACAATGTGCAGCATAGCCAGGTCCTGGTAGACAGAGACTTACTGTAAACTTATGGTTCATTCGCAGGACGTGGACGGTGGACAACTTGAAATTTTGCTTTAGCCGGACGTGGATAGACGGTGTATCTTTGATTTAGTCTGTTATTTTTGTAAGGGGTTAGCTGGTCGGGAAGTGTTAGATGTGAACTGTGTTATCCAGAATTGGTAAAGGTCAAATGCAACGTAAAACACAACTTTGCAGATTCTGACACCCTTAGGTATGGACTTACAGTAACAAATGATAAAAAATGCAAATTCAGCTTATAAAGTTAAAAAATAACGCGATGAGTTCAAACGATTCACTAAATAGGTTCGCGCAGCTTGGATTTGTTGTTATTTGCTTTATTTAACGTCTCGCGCCGCACAACTAAGGCATTTCGGCGACGGGATAGTACACTTATTAAGAAATGAGAGATTTTCACGTTATTGTGTTCTCATCCACATGTTGATTAAGCTGGTTTCTTCCTCATTTCCAGTTTCATCATTCAGAGTTTCACATCAGTTGAGTAGTTCAGTGTAGCTCGCAAAGACGGTGCCACGGAGCGGAACGATGACGTTTTGTGTTTTCCGCGTTCGGTTACGTAATTTCCGCAAAGCGCCTGCGATAATATGCGCCTAAAAAGTCGTTGTGTCCCATCCGTTGGTCTTGTGTATTGGTGTTAAACAGCCGCGGCTTTCAAGTGCATCTTGCTTTCCATATATACAATCCATTGATCACACTGGGCCATTAAGTGACACTAGGTGTGAGATGTACAGGTGCTCGTGAGGATATTTTGATGAAAAAGACT